GTTCACATCGTAAAAGCAAGTTGTAAAAGCAATGTAAAAGTTGAAGGAAGGAAAGACAAGTCATTCACGATATAAATTTTTGTGTCCAAAAAGGTACAAATAACAAGAACAAACCAAACAATATGATACAATTTTGACTTTATCCTTTATTGGGATGACTAATCCAATCAAGAAAACGAACGGTATAACGCAATGTAAGCAAACATGATTTTATTCTGATTTCAAATTTTTCTCAATTCTAATTCAGCTTCCCTTACAAAATCCTACAATTCTTTGGTTTTTATTCTAAAAAGACAGTTATTATTTTCAAAATTCGAACATTAGATACCGGTAAGACAAGGAAGTGGGTGAATTCATTCGATAAAGATAGGATGGACCCAACTGAGTACTTCAAATACCAAAAATTTCAAAAGCTCATCAATTAAATAGATTTTGGTCTACAGCAAAAAAGGTTTTTATTGGCTTTAAATACTTTACAAAATAAACTTACATGGAATCTTCTATGGTAAAAATATTACAGCAAACAACTAAAGTGAAGAAAATTACCCGGCAAAGTATGTCAAGTACTTTTCGGATTTCCTTGATAGATGGCCTTTCATTCGGTATTTTCTGCCAGCAGCTAAAAACTTTTATATTTTCAAAAATAATGCGAATTCTTTTGTTCTTTGGCTGAACCTGACATTTAAGATCTCAAATATTTAAAAAAATAAAATTTGAAACTCTGTAGAAAAGAATATTACCCACAAAAAGTTGATGAGTAATAGAAGAAATTTCGCCTTGTGCTGGAAGAATGAAACTCTTACCGTTCAATCATTTGCATAAGCGTAGTTGGAATATCTTGAATACGCGATGGCCTCAAACCCGCATAAACCTAAAGACTTTTAATGGAAACAAAACTCCAAATTTGAAAAACAAAACAAAACTCCAAATTTGAAAAACAATTTTATTTTCTTCTTCGCAAGATAAAATCTTCAGAAATGAAATCCTTTAATAACCAAAACCATCTAATCCTATCCAATCTTATCCAGATATCAGAAATTTGTCATTCAATAAGATTCAAAGCCATGAATTTAGATAAAAACATACGTTCCACAAAATTTCTTCGGCATTTTTACAATTACCATACGGCCTCATTCGTGTAATTATTTCCCAAAGGATAATTCCAAAGCTATAAATATCTGACTGTTCCGAAGGTGACGAACCAGTAAAGATCTATAAAAAAATCAGATTTGATTTTAATTTCTTTTACAGAACAGATGTACCATTTTTCACTCTTAATTTTAAATTGCTCCAATTTTTAAATCAAATCTTCATTTAAAATTTCGGAAAACACAATATACCTCAGGAGCCATCCATGGTGCTGACCCTTGTCTATACTGTGTATCGGTATTCATATACACCATCGTGCCGAAATCCCCAACTTTGAGACAACGGCACTTGTCACTAAGCAGTAAGCTAAATCAAGAACAATTATACGATACACATAACTTTTCTTAATTCATAACTACCCCTCTACACGCTTTTCCACGGGTTAATTAGTGCGTAAAATGATATGAAGTTTCCGTGATTGCCGGTTCCACATGAGGTAGAATACACAATTACAAATGTGGACGAAATATTACATGTGAGTTTAAGGGTGACAAAAATAATATAAGGACAGGTACAAGTAATAATATAATGAAAGAATTTTACCTTCTATAAAAAACAGTGAATATTAGTTATTAGTGAATAGAGATCAAGAAATATTAAGAAACTATCCATCCATCTGCCCTAGAGTATTGCTTAATATTTATGTAACACAACATTCTAAGCTTCACTTTACTTTTAACATGTTATGGCATGATTTCAGGGATACTATAAAAAAAGCCATTGATTAAACAATAAAAAATTTCTCTTTTATTTGTTTTCATGATGAAACATAAAATTAATCGTTGGTTGATAAACTATCATTGGAAAAATATAGTTTGAGAGTAGTCAATATCTTTGCTGTGAAGCGATGCTTCATTTTATACGAAAAAATTCGAAATTAAACTTCAAAAAAACTGCGCAACTATTTCAAAAGTTAATCAGATGGAAAATAAAACAGTTCATACTTGGCAGTTTTTAGATCACCATGCGCAAATCCTTTCCGGTGTATGTACGCCAACGCATCAGTACATTGTGACGCCCAATGAAATGCATGATCTGCCTTATAACTTATATTTTCTGACTCATGCAGCACTGAAAATTTGGACTATTATTATTATATCGTGGTATACTGTAAAAGTGAAAGATTCAATGACAACACAATCAGAATTCACAAATGAATTTCCCAAAGCAAAATTTTTCATGCCAATCATTTAATCTCTCCCTTTTTTCTCATACATCTTTGAAGATTGTCAGTAATTGAGTTGATGCACGGTACTTACAACTTTTAAGTTCTTCCTTAATTATTGAGATATATGTACTAGTAATGCAGTATTCTCTACTGCATTACTGGTACATATAACTGAATTAGTATACATATGACTTTCATTCAACAAATTGAATATTCTTCAAAGCTTACACTGATCAAGAGAACCACATGCCATGTATTCCATTGCTATAGCATATACCGGATAAACACATGCACCCATAATTTGGACCACATTTGGATGAACCAAATTTCGCATCATTTCCACCTTAAATGATTGTAAGATTTTCTTTTCGAATTTTCAGTAAAACTTGAATGCAAATATGAAATTTTACACTTTTTGCTACATTAATTTATAATGTTTCCTTGAATAATTAAAAACTGTTTACACATAATTAAAATTGTTTTGTCGTATCAACAGAACGTTTTTTGATGAATAAATGCACAATAAAAATCGTTTTTAGAAAGAAATCAATCACAATATTCTGCTTAAAACATCAACATCCTTTTCTCAATGATTTTTTGAATATGTTGGTAATATACTGCACCTTGTTGCCATATCATCTAACTACTATTATATAAGTTGATCAATATTATAAATGAAAAAGAAAAATTAAAACCTCGTGATAAAAGATTCCTCGAAGAACTTCATCAGTTGAATGGATAACTTTTAAAGCTACTGTTACTTCTTTGCATTGTGCCTTCCATACATCGCTATAACTCCCTCTGAAAACAAGCATAAAATTATTTGAGAGAAGGATCCCACTTCGCAACGAATCGGAATATAATTTCATATCTCTTCTAGAGGAGTTCAAGAAACAATTTTAACAAATGATCAGGTTTCATAAGCTCATCTATAGCTACACCTGATATGCAATCATGTTTTACTGGAAGACGGACCAAAGTGAATGACCAACCAGTTATGGCAATTTTTCATGAAAAACTTTTTCAGCATCAGTGCAATCCAATAAATTACTGTAAAAATGGTAGCCACATTTTTTTCTAGTAAAGAAATTGAGATTATATTTGTATTTTAGCCCAATAAATTTTATTGTTTTATTCCATTCATAATCCATTATTTGAGTAACGACACAAAACGAAAGCGGGAATAACGATGTCGTCCAAACAACTCACCTCCCTAATAAGCGGTGTAATTTGAAACTACAAAAGTCGACATTCAGGAATGGATCGTCATTGTAGCTGTCAGCACGTGTCAAGGATGACAAAGATTTAACACTAACATTCTCCAACTTCTTTTCTTCTACTTCTTCGTCATCAATTTTTAATGGAGGCAACAAGTCCATCTAAAAACATAATTTGATCAATGTGAACAAATTTATGATTTAAATATTATCAAATACTTGGGAAGTAAAGAATTTCATGCCAAATTTTATTTAAGAGCTAACAGGTCCCAAAATAAGATGGACATAGTTCACTTCGAAAAAGTTTCCATAAAACTTAATTGAAATTAACAGTTCTCTTTGCAACCAAAAAAATCATTTAAATTACCGCAACTGAAACATATAGTATTGTTTATATCGCTTCATATCATTCCAGCAGTTCTAAGAATAAAACAAAGAATTCACCTGCAGCAAACAACTTCGGACTGATTTAAGATATGATCCATATCAAATGGGATCAATAATTTCGGAAAGAAAAAAAATTTCATATCAGTTGTTTATTGTTACTAAACAAGAGCGTAAATTTATCCTTTAGCAAAATATTCAACGATTATTTTTCACACATATTTCATGCACGAAGTGAAAAGCGAAATATACAAAACTGAAACAGATTTGGACTCAAAAGAAAAACATAATCTTGTTTACACCGCTTTCAAAGTTTGAGAAAAAAGAGAAAGTAGGATGATGTACACAGTGCCGTCAAAATATCCAAAAACCTAATTTCTTTAATATATCAGCCTTTTCTCCAATCTAACATGAATGTTACCGGATGACGGTTTCGTCCATTTAATGATTAGCTTGCTTATATTACACATAAATTAAATGTGAACCATCGCAATCTAACATGATTGCATTTATCTTAATTCGGATAAGTTTAACCTAATTAAAAACGTGAAAACTACTGGACCTCCTCGTCTTAGCATATAAGAGTTGCCATGAATCAAACTGATGAAATAACAGGTGAACATTGGTAGCGATGGTAAAAACACTGAACAGATAAAAACAGAAATAAGATTTATGAAACTCAGCAAGTTGAAAAAAATCAGGCGCAAGATGGAAAGTTTGTTAATGGAGAAAAATGAATAATAATGAAGTAAATGAATAATCGCCTTATAAATTGTGAGCTGCCCATATAAAAGTAAAACTGAATGAAATAAACCAAACTACGGCATTTTATTTTCGCCCAGCTTTGTCGAATCCAACGACGAAATTTCAATTAAACCAGATCGAATCTAACTTCATAAGTTTAACTAAATTATTAAATCCCGAATTTGAAAAGTAACATATATCAACAAATCATAGAACATCGGAAAGAAAATAGCTCTGAAGGACCTAAATCTCATGACCACATAAAGGATTGCTCTCAATCAACATGCACATTGCTAAGAAAACCAGAAACTAGAAAAGCTCGCTAACTTAAAATTAAAAGAGGTTTACATTATTTCCTTGAATAAAGCAGTATAAATCGAAAGTAAACGAACGGAATAATCCAAAAAAATTATCTTTGAAACTTCTAAATCGAATTTTAACGCACAAAAAGCAAGTTATTAGAAATTTTTTTCCGTAGAGGGACGACATCTACTAATTGCATTTAGTAGCATTCCAGCATTCTTTAACTGCTTCAATTCGGAAAATCCACCGATGAAATCACCACATATAAATATCTGCGGCACAGAAGTTTGTTTTGTGATATTAATTAGCCCATTAACATATGACTGATGGTTTACTGGGAAACGGCGCTGAAAATTTACTTACGCTAATAAAGATTATGAAGAGATTTTATGAAAAAAAATGCAAAAAGAAGTAACAAATTTTTAATTACCTAATATATAAACTTTCTCTAGAGTACAAAGCATCCTAGTTTCACTAATTTGGGTAATTAATAACTAACTAACAAACCAGTCAAATTAACCTGATGAACATCCAAATTGTTTTCTTTATATTCGATCCGTTCGCTGTCTAGAAGCTGTTTAGCTCTTAGACAATATGGACATCTCGGCATTGTGAAGATAACTACTGGAAAATGTTTCACTTCCTCTCGAATAGTTTCTTCATCCATTGACGAAGTTGTGGATAGAAACTGACCCATTCCTGATGTGAAGCTGAAATGTTTAGGGATCGTATCCTCCTCGAATTCATAAGAATCACTCCCTTTTTTTTCTCTATCAGAAATCATTGGTTTATAATTCATCATAAAAACTATTTCTTCTCACTCAAAAAGGAAATGATAAGGATTTAATACTCGAAGTTCAAATTCAATGCTAATCACCGCACACACGATTCCCACACTATTATCTATTAATAAAGTATGGATATTTTGCAGTATGATACCTTCTTAGAGACCAATTATTTGCTGACAAAGGAAGTTACAAGTTTATGATAATTAGTGTCATCAAAGCTATATAATCATTCAGGCGTATACGATAGTTTTTACTATCGACTGATGGGTTAAATACATAAAACTTCTGAACAAGATTAATGACTACTCTATTATTTCTGTATCACTTTTCGGAAGGTTGGTAAAATATGCACCGCCAATATTCGGAATTTCACAAATTTTAAAACGCTATGGGAAAGAAACAACATATTGAAAGTAGTATCAAACCCATACTGAGCAATTCCTCCTCTAGGTTTTATTGCATCAAAATACTTAGAGTGAATCTTGTGAATTAGTCTAACCTATGATCCAAATAACCAAAGTACAAACTTAATGCAATGAAAAACATATTGAGAAACTTTTATTAAAAGAAAGAAAGTGGCGGATAAACATCAATATCATACTAATGTAGTACAAGCAAAACCTACAGCAATGAACCCATAATCATGAAAGCCTTGTCTTTGAGATACGATTTTCATATCGTGAAATCTGTTTTGACAACATAATATATTGATTCATAAAATATGAAGAATCCGATTTCAAACAGAAATCAATAAGCCTCAAACGCAGGCAGCAGGTCATGTAATGTATTATATATGAAAATGATCAAAGAAAAACGGTTTTTCCATACGATTTTCATATAGGATGAAGAAACTAGAAGATAAAGTTTCTGAAGAAAACGTTAGCTGCACTTTTTAACACAAGCAATGAAGAAAAGTAAAAATTGAAATTTTTAATGTAAACATTCACTTTTACCTCTAGGCAAACGATTGCCTCAATTAGCTCTGGAAAATGTGAATATGTTCTAGCGGAATTTCTAATTCTTCCAGCAATCTAAAACAAACAAAAATTTAGAAAATTCATTAATTTTCTTTACCACGGTTTGAAGAACATGTGATTCGCAATAATATCTGGAAGTATCATACTTATGGTCAAGTAATTTCATACTCTCGTATACAGCTTATGAGTATCAATTCCATCGATGTACCGCTCAACAGATTTTATCGATTAATATGTGCTTACTTTGTTGCAAGATCAACAAAAAGATTTGGCCCAGAAATCAATATTCGATAAGCGGTTTTTTCGACATTTTCATCAATGTATTTTGAAAGTATCTGTTTCGAAATAATACCTAAAAAACATGAATACAGATAAGTTAAATTCTATCCAGTTGTTTCAGAACTACAGTAAAAATTAATCCAAATGCTTGTTTAGTGTTTTGAAAATTTTTTCTATAAAAAAATATTCATAGTTTCTTAGCACAAATCATCATCGCAACAAACCTCTCTCGCCGTTCCATTCTTGATCAGCTTCACTTAAACAATGTTTTATTTCTATCAAAGGATGATTCAGCGGTATTTCGTACTTCGTAAAATAGTCATCTGGCATAATATCTATCTCCTTTCTGTTAAAGATGATTATAGTTGCTCTAAAAAAATTATATTGTATAGGAAAGAAAGGAGAGGGAATAAAACAGCTAATTAGACTTTTCGGAAGGACTTCATCAATACTTTTCCACATAAGTAATAAATGAAATACATCTGCTGTGAGCCAAAAATTCTTAAATGAAACATAGCAAACCATACTTTTTCTTACTTTTTAGACGTTCAGCTGTAAATCGAATCATGGACGTTAAACCTGTTCCAGCTGCCAACATTAACATTATACCAGCACAATCGAACCGAATATTAAAACAACCTAATGGATCGCTAATTTCGATCAAATCTCCTTAAAAATAACTGCAGTTTAGTTTGTGAACGAAATGCACTAAATTATTTGGTGAAAGTAACTTAAATCTCTTTCAGAAACTCTATTTACTGCTCCCACATGCAATTACTGGCAAATATATTGCATTGGGAAATTTGAATTTCGACTGCTCACTATAAAATATTCGAACACACAAGAATATTTATCTCATTTATGATAAAATTTTCTATGAAATCAACCAAAATCAATAACTAACCACATTTTTTATTGCGCAATCTTGGTGTAAAAATACCGTTCTCATAGAATTTTATCATAAATGAGATAAATTGCCCATCTTTCGATACAATGACCGGAGTATATGGACGTTCGATCAAACTTCCTGCAAAAATTTCTTGAAATCTATTTCAAATACTTTTAAAACAGCAGATCAACATATTGTCTATTACTGTTCGAATTTTTCTGATACACAATAAATTCCTTAAGCTTTTAATCTCTCTTCATATTAATTGTTACCAATTTTTCAACACCGTTTTTTATGAAGAAGCTCTTAAAATCATAACGAGCCACGTAGGCAGAATTTGAACATGATTTCACCATTAACGCCGATCCGCAACAGAACATGATGTCCTACAGGAACCATTAAACGACAATGAGACGTCATTCGCAAAACAATTAAACCGGTATTGTATGTTACATCATATATTTTAAATATTTCACAATTTCGGTATTTGAGTACTGAAAATTGAAACTTTTTAAAGCGATGAGTGGAGCACCAAATATTGTGATATTTACATCTTTGATATATAACATTTATTTCTCGTATGCACACTAGGTAAATGACGCATATTTTTAAAGAATTATCATTTAACTTTCATAAAGTACCAATGAAAGAAATGAAACATCCTTTTCCTTACGGAAAAAAAAAACCATACCTGGTTTATAATGATACGATCCTGAAGTCCACTGATTAATGATATCTTCACCAATTTCTTTATATGATAAAGATATTGTTGGGCCGTTAATATTTACATCAAAAGATTTATCAAAAATAGTGGATGGTAAGTTTGCTGCAATTAATAAAAAGTAATAAACTTTGTCGTGATGGGATTTTTCGGTATTTTGTAAGAAAAAATATGTTACGCAATGCTTAACATAAAATGAATAGAAATAGTGAACAGAAAATCAAAGTTCCACGGATGGAATGGATATGAATTCTCAAACTTACAACTTTCAATGTCAACTAGTGTTTGATAAACGCAGAAGTAAAAAAAATTGTTTGAAGCATAAAAAACAAATGAAAAAATGAAATGTAAACAGTAAACGTAACAAAATAGGACCATTAGGACTCTAAATTATACAGGATCACTAAATTAAAAGGAAAATAAAAACTAAACAAAATAAAAAAAATCAAAACCATCCTCAAACCAAAAACTAAGAAAAAAATGCACTTTTTTAGTGAAAGTGTATACTGCATAATGAACAGAAGAATTATGCAAAACTTACTCCATTGTAATGCTTTTGTTTTGCCGGCGGAAAAGTGCAACAGCAATCTTAGTACATTCTCCGTGAATTCTATGGATACATTTTCGTCCATCAGCTGATCCCACTTCGGACAACTTATTCGTAATTGACCGTCAAAATTAACTTCCGCTCTAAAATTCATACAAGAAATGCGGAGATTAGAGAGTTTCAGAAAAAGTAAAATATTGACTTTTTTTATATTCTTGTTCTGGTAAAGTAGAAAAAAGGGAAAAAATCTGAAATATCGCTATAAATATAGAATGACTAATCCACAACCTAGATATTTCTTAACAGATTTACACTTCATAAAGAATCAAATTATTTTACTGGTTCAGCAAGAAGATCAAACAAAAATTTCGATGAAATATCGTACCTTACTCCAGCTGTTTCGAAATTAGCAATATATGAATCAGTTTCTTCAATAAAATTCGTTGCTTTCGGCTCGGATACTAAAAATGAATTTCCAAATCCTTCGTTTTAAAGAAACCAATTTACATTTTTCAAGTTGTCTCAAAATAGATACTTACTAAATTGTATAAATTCCCAGAAACTTAGAAAATTTCATACTTTTATCACCTCAACAGTGCTTTAAAAATGAAATCTGAAAAAAATTTATAATGAGATACATTTATATCTGTCGCCATTGAAAATTCCAACAAAGCACGTTTTCAAGATTGTGTCATAATTAACCCAAGCATGAGTCATGTTAAAAAGATTCGTACCATCCGTACCAGCGGCACGCATTAACTGCTCAGCACCACCAGGATGAAATGCCAAATAATCTGTCACATCATACACCTGACATCATCACATCAAAGTTAAAACTTTAGGATGGATAAATTCCTATTCAATAACAACTCGCAGTCATTATTTTTTCCACTGTAAAAATTTCGAATCTAAAATTGAATTTTTCAAGTCAAACAACAAATTAATCTCAACGATCTACAGATTCCCTACATTTGATACTTACCCTTTCACCGATTAAAATCCAGCAATCATTAACACTTGCATGTTTAGTGAGTTCATCATGATCAATACCTCGATTTATTTTCCTCTCAGTACTTCTGGATGAAGTCAACTTGATCCAATCCATTAAGCTTCGACCATGTGTCAGGACAACTTTTGAACGCCTCGTCGAGGAAGCTTTATTCTAAAAACTGGCAGCATTTATCAACGCTATTCTAAATGAAACATAAAGTGGGAAAGTGATCCCTAGAGAGCAAGAATACTAAATAGGAAAGTCACTTATACGAATTCTCAAATCTCTTACAAGTATTTAAAATTAAAAAAAAATCAGTGTATACTTTCACCTGAGAATTTTGCGGAACAGACAACATTACCGACTGATTCTTCTCGTTGATGACGTTTATTCTATTTCGTGCATAGACTACATTATCGAATATCTTTTTCTACAAAAGAATTTTTAACAAACATTTATTGCAGTATCTTTCCTTATTGTGAAGTAGCAAAAAAGGCCATTCAATAACGTTTGAAACTCTTCCGCCTCTCAATTTATTTGATAAATGGTATTAAGATCAAATCTTAGACAAATACCTGCCACGCACGTATTATAACCCTCAAGCCTACGAATATTTTTTAATAAAATACTTTAATTCTGCACTTTTCAGTGTGTGTCAAATTGTTAAATATTATATTGCTGTTTTGATATACATCCTGTAGATGTTTTATGACACGCAGGGAACCATTTCTTTATCCTTATCTTTACCTATTCCATCCTTCTAGAAGTAACATTTGTTTTTCCATGACACTCCGACATGACGTACGAGCAGCTATGCTGGACGGAGGTTCTCCGAGCATAAGATTTGTACGTGTTACATTACCATGAATATGAATGAAAGGATTTCTTTGCTGTTGCTAAAAGCAGCAGTGTTTGTTTATTGCAAATAACAACTCTATTTTCAGTGTTTTAACTTCGTGAAGTACCTTTCGCTCTCTTTTCAAATTTCATAGTCGAGAGTGCTTTAAATTTCACTTACCCAATATGAGCATTGGAAACAAAACATCGGATGTTTGAGGAGAACATTCGGCAGCCCACCAACAGAACAACCTCCGCCGTCCCAGCCTTTCCCACTGCAACCTCACTCAGCAATCCATCCACCCCTTCAATCCCTACTCCAACAAACAATTCCATCGCTCTCACGATCTCGCCCATTGTCACGAAGAATTTCGCACTGCCTTTTGCTTCTCCACTCCCTCAGATATTGACCTCTCTCACAGCCCTTTCAATCTGTACCGTCTCCCTAACTACTGCACTCTCTGTTGTTTCAACTTTTGTCACTGTGAGCATTTCAACGGCGAAGTTGCTAACAGCCACATCTGTTTCGCTTTTACCAACTTGTCTTTACAATTCTCGGGTTTCAGACGGAGGACTGAGAGTTCTCGGTATTTCCCCTGGATTCGTTTCCCGCACCTTTAGATCACAGGAAGTCACTTCTTCATTTGGTAATGCAAATGAAGCAGTGTGGTGTGGTCAAGGACGAGGGGATACAGAGGAAGAAGCTGATAGTAAGTAATGAGAACGATTCCAGTCAGTGTGGGCCGTGTACTCGGTGGTTTCACGCATCTCACTTACTTTTAGGTGTACTTGAAGGGCTACGAATGCATTACTTGCGTGTTAAGCTCTTCCGGCATACCATTCTACCGGAACTTATATTATTAATCGCTGTTTCACTTAGTGGTTCGACAATTAGAGGGACCGATTGTTCCAGGCGGGATTAAGGTCTCAAGTTGGGTTTCAGGTTTGAGTTCTTGGAACGTGTTCCATCTACTTTATGGGTCGTACAAAGGGTTCCGAAGCAGGTAATTTATCAGTGACAAAGCGCGGAATGAAAGGTAGCAAAGATCGCGGAGTTGCGGTAACTGCAAAAAGTGGCTTCGACGGGCCATTGAATGCTCCGTGGCGTAAAACAGTATCCATTTTCAAGCAACCTGTTACGTTGGTGCATACGACAAGTCGTGAAACGAAAAATCCTACAAATGAACAGTTACGACGTGTTTGTGCATCGAGTAACTTGAAAAAGAAGACTGATAAACCACGACAAGTTAGTGATGTAGATACATTTAATAATGATGTCAGGCTTTGCTTTTTATAATTTCATGCTCCTTACTAGGCTCCAGTTCTTATAACTATGTTACCGTTTTTAAATTTTAGGAAAGCAACTTTGAACCTGCTTTGGAGTTTGATGTAGATAACTTCGATTTTAGGCTTCTGTTTAGACAGTCATGATATCATTTATGAAGCTCGACAAATGTTGCAGTTATCATTTGTCCACGTTTTTCAAATTAGTAAGTGGAGGACTCTACATGACTTCGCAACTTTTTTTTATGGGCCCATAAATATCTGACGGGTAGAAAGTAAGGACCTCATTGCTCCATGCCTTTATCTTACACTTTTGGGATAACAAATGAATTTTCTACTTTAAATGAATTTATGAAGTCCTATTCATTATATTTATACTGGGCATTATGGCATATGTCATGAAGAAATAGACTTTTATTTTAGTTGTATTGGGCTAAATCATTAGAAAATCTATGTGCAATGGTACCAATTTGTAATGCCGACCGTATAACGATTGAGGGCAATGAACATATTGCTCATAGCTTGGATCTAGCCGGTAAAATGGAGCCTGCTTTGGGAATTATTGGTACTGATGGCTCGGCAGCATCGTTATGTTCGGCACTGCATGGATTTGGCGCATCAGTTATTACTGGGCAAACTGCTGCTAAAAAGCAGCTCGATTCAAATCCGTCATCTAATACAAATGTTGACCAGCCATTTATCCAGGTAGATTTTTTATTCGTTCCAAAATCATAAAGATTGAAGAGATCTAGTGTGGCTAGCAGCTTATAGTCTGAAAAGATGATCACGTTGTTAGTTTTTTTCATGGTAATAATGAAAGATCTTAGCTTGAATTGGGGGAATAGAAGTGTAAAAAATCCAAATTTAATTTGAAAACTAATTTCTCGGAAAATAAAATTTTAAGTTTTAACTATCCACAAAGAGGCTATTTAAACAATCATTTGCATTTAATCCCTCAAATATTGCACCGAATTAGTATTGACGGATCAGATTCAAAGATAAATTGAAATGCAGTAGCTTTGATAGCTGAATATAAGTAAGAATTAACTTCAGTTGATATATCTTTATTCATTCGAAATTATCATAAAACAGGATTTGCGATAACTAGCTCCTCAGGACTTTTAGTTACCTCAAAACCTTCAGGAACTTCTGATAATTTAGTTATTACAAGTTTATGATGCTAAGAAGCTTTAATTGAATTACTCTGGATATTTTGAAAGCAGGAGAAAAGACGGGCTTAAGCAAATTTTAAAAATGCAATAAATCTGACAACTTTAATAAATAGTAGCAGCATATGTTTTAAATGGTCATGATTTTTAAATGGATATTGCGTGTATTTTCAAAAGGTTTCATTTCAAGAAGAATAACCTGATTTTATTTAGCCGGTATCAGTTAGTGAGCAAGATATCCAGCACCAAGAGCGGCGTGTTTTGGATATGCGTAGAAGATTACAGGAAGCCCGTAAGCATTTTCACATGTAACATCTCATTTACATTAGTTTGAGTAGGCATATCTTTAAAAGATTTCGCTAACGATTTTATTTGCTTCAGCATTTTGAGTTATTATTCTTTTTTCTATCAGCCAAAATTTATTATGTTCAGAAGTTATCGACATCATACTTTGTTATATTTCACTTTTAAATTGCTTTGTCTGGATTTATGATCTGGAATGAATACTGGATCAAAGTCCAGTTGTAAATCCAACTTGCTTTGATATTTTTGATATTAATAAACAAAGGATGAATTCCATTTTTTGTTATAAGCTATGTGGTTAAATCTGAATTTTATTTGGAGACAACGTAATGTCCCTAATTTTGTTAGAATATTTAACTGTTCGTGAGAATTGTTATTTTTCCTCATATTGATATATTTTAGGCACTCTTTAATATATTTCTTGAAAATGCTATTTTGTTTTGTGATCTAGTAACGTTATGCGGAAACTGCATTTAAAAAGAGCTATTTTTAATTGTCGGGCCTGGGATTTATTAGTTGAAATAAGCTTTTTAATGTGATGACTGTTATCCAGAAGTATTTAAACTTCAGGCAAATAGACTGAAATTACTCATTAGATATCAAATCTATTAATCCAAATTAATTTTTAGATTATTTATTTTACTTACTGATTGTAACAGTTATTCATTAGTTTTACTCTTTACAATTTTGGGTGATATTATGCACAAGCCAATTTTTCCGCCAGCAATATGTGTATTCCATATCCTTTTCCATATTATTCTGTATATTATCAATTCATGCTAAATACAATTGAAGAAGAAGCTTCTATCTCGATTGGATTTCAAAACTCTTCAAGTTGTTAGCCATCGTACTTTCTATATTTTCTCCTCGTAAATTTTTTCATCTTGATTTTTGTTTTACATCGTTTATCGTCATTATGAAGAAAGGGAATAAAAAATTAGCTCATGAAAGTAAAATATTTTTCAGTGGTTTAATTTCTAGATTTTGCAGTGAGCAGGCTGAATGTTAATGATTCCTTCAAACTGAAGGAGAGCGAAGAAATTGCCTTCGCTCTGATCAAACTTAATATAACGTAACATCCTCACTTCAAGTGTGCCTAATGCCTAAGAAAATATTAAGCAAATCTCCAGATTACTCGTCAGTACCTGTCAGACTTTGTCGTCAACGTTCGATAGCGGGAGAGATCAGCAGAAAACTGAAGCAACGGAAAATTTCTGAAGCTTTTGGGAAGTTCAAAGCCATAAAACGAACCGATGAGTCGATCAGAGCCTAATCTGAGAGACTGCTGTATATTCCAGCTATTGGGGAAGTGTAAAGAAAAACTATAAGATTCGACATTGTCAGGAAGATAGTGATATCAACCCTTTGGTTGATAAAACTGATATACTTTCATTCCATTTCAGGGAAGAGAACAATGAATGACAATGCGCAAAAGCATTCAATGCTTTTTGAAAGAAAGCGTTAGAACTAACGACAATCCCACTTAATTAAATCCTCTTTCAACTCAAAAATCACTAATAGTCCATTTACTCGCATATTTAAATATCTGTTAATTTGAATTAACTGACAGGATTCTGGGTAGCAGTACCTGAAACAGCTACTTGCTTAGGAAAAATCATTAATTCAGAATCTTCTTTGTTTGGAATTGAATAATAGATAACAGAATAACGTAAATCGAATAATTCACACCTTCCCAAATACGAGTTCCTGTCCGTTTTCTCCTTAGTTCCAGCAAGATATGATATCACCAAAGGTTCATTTAATAGCCACAGTTTTTCTGTTTAAAATTGAATTTGTTAAATTAAGATTTGAAAAATACTTTCCCACTTCCTACGCTCTCACGCACTTTTCGAGCTCAAGACCTACTTCACATTTGTCTATGACAGTTCTTCATTGTGGTATCAATATCGCGTTAATTTCTCAGAAATTAACATTTAATTTCATTTGAAAAAGCTATGCAAAAAGAAAAATATGCTAAAATTTCGAATTCGATTTATGAAATCCAATGAGAACAAGACTTCTTTCACTATAAAGATAAACAAAAAATCGACCAATAGTAAAAATTGACAAATAGTTTTAATATTTTTGCAATCAACGGAGCATGCGCCTTTACTTCCTTTCTCCCTTCTTTAACATGTCATTGTCACCGCCTGATGCCCAATAATTATCTAACTTTTTTAGGGGATGAACGTTTTTCAAGATTTCGATACAACTGATCAATTCGGTTTTGTCTCACCAAAATTGTCAACGCTGGTAATCAATGTGACATAGAATTCCAAGATCAATCAATCAATCAGTGAACCATTCCGCATAACCTTTTATAATCCTGAAACTTAGCTGTTCAAAGCGAGAAAAATATGCATGATTGTGTTTCACCTGTATTGTTACCTTTGTCTCATTAGGACATTTGTCCAAAGTACAAATGTTACAAAAAGATCCCTATAAATTATACGATGTAATAAATTCAAACCAGTCTTTCAACTCACAATACTATGTAAAATGATAAAACTCGTAAAAACTTTTAGTTTTGAATAAAAGAACAACTGCACATTCATGGAACGATACTAAAACAATTCATCACGAAATACAAACCGGAAGGTGATCTGACATACTACTTTCAATTTTCGTGGCGACAGATGTTAGAAATAAGAATAGATACGTTAAAAAAGTAACGAGGGAAAAGAGCGAAAATCTAATATATGTTAAAAAATTCCAACCACTAAGACGCAAAACCAAAACACAACAAATTTCAACTTCTTTTTCCTTTATAGACTTTTGGAAGACGGATCAGTTTTTGTTAATAGCGGATAAAATCGGAAACTTCTCCCAAGGTTCGACAGATTTCAACATGAAAAAGAAAGAGAACAAGAAGGTGTGGAAAAAAACATTGCGGGTGCAATTATAATAATTACTGAATTATAAACGCAATCATAATAATATATCAAATATTGAGGTACGCATTGTAATCGATAAATAAAGTTAACATTAGATAAAAATGAAACGGACGCATTTAACAGAAAATATGAGAAATAGGATAAATGAATGTGGAATTTAAGATCATTTTTGAATAACAATGCAAGGAATATATTTTGAAAAGAACGGCATTTATAGCAGCAAACAAATAAACAATAGTGAGATTGCATTCGAGATGGCACAATGTAGCAATTTTCTATTTCTCTACAATTTACTGGCTCCTACAGGGAAGAAAACGATTCCTTCATATACCCATTAGTATCCGAAATCATTCTGGGAATCTGCTCGAGAATATATTCCTTAAATGTTAAAAAAAATTCTTTTTTATGGACTTTCGGTAATGAAAAGTGTTACGTGGCCATTTGCCGTGAAACAATGTAATTTTACGCTTCTCGTTTTGTACATTCACCGCTTTCATCATCATAATCCTCTTCATGTTTCCGTTTCACACCCCGTGGACTGCCCGCTTCATCTGTTTCTTCCTCATCACCTGGAGCAAAATCTTCCGTCTCATCTTCATCCTAAAAATAAAAGAATGGGTTTTTAAACATTTCCCTATAATCTGAGGTTATATTTTTCATCTGATTCGTAAAAATCAACAAAGTCACAGTGAATTCAGTATATTAATTGGTTCAGCACAACTCTTTTCTAATCTCTTTCCAACTGCTGGATTAAAAGTCTTAGATGCTGTCATGCAAAAGTTTTATCATGACCAATCATTTTTTCCATTTTTCTTAATCTAACCTAAGCAATCACAAGTGAAAATTATTTCAACTTTTCAACACGAAAACAGAAATACGAATTTTTTTTATTTTTTACATTTCTCCACAGAAAAAGTTCTCTTAACAAAATGTGCGGGAAACGAAATGTTAAGCAAATATACCTGCATCACAGTAGAGCTCTGAAGATAATCTAAACCAACATCAGAATCCTCTTCATCATCATTGCCCTCATCATCATTATCGGTATCGTCCAGTCCATCACCAACACCATCATCATCATCTTCGTCATCACCGCCTTCCTGTAGGATTTCACTATCGGATTCTGCCTCTTCATCATTGATGTCATAACCATCGAGATATTTCAAATTAGGTAGCGTCTACAAGAATAAAAGTTGCTTATTTTACAACAAATTTCGGCAATTTTTAAAAATATATTCCATTGCTGCAAACAATTCAAATATTTGCTTAATGTCGATTAAAAGCACCTAAATAATTAAATGTCTGCTACACTTCAAAAATCCTCATTTAACAGAGTACCCAACGGACCAAAAAATAATGCTCATTGATTGATTTCATAGCATATTTTAGACCAAGTAATCATCGCCTCGAAAATTCTAGAGTTTTCGCTTGGGAAATAAAGCCACCGCAATATTTTTCGCAGTTAGTTAGATAAAAAAGTCCTCGATTTATCTGTTCCATCTTTAACATTGCTCGTTAGATTATACTATCACTGTAATTACTATAAGCTGGAGTGTGCAAGAAAAATAAACCAACCTCGAAGACATTTTTCCTGTAGTCATCAAATGCGGCTAATTCGCAGCCAAAAAGATCCAGTGACCTCAATTCCTCAAGTTTTTTCAATGGTTCCAAAATTTCCAATGTGTTGATTTTATTACCGGCCAAATTGAGGTATTCTATATGTGGGCAACATAGTAGTTGATCTAGGTTACCAGAAATCCGATTTTCCGATAAATCTAATCGTTGAAGAGAAGGAAGTGATGGCAAACCCTGAAAAAAGAAAGAAATATCAATACATCAGTTTCAAATATATCACTCATACAACTATTTGGCAATATAGACTGGAAATTAGTCAAAATTGACTAATACATCAATTCTGCCCTTTTCCACTAAATTTTAACAAAAGAAAAGACTAAGTCTTCTTACCTTTAATGAAGTTAACCCAACGTTGATCATAGACAATGTTTCCAAGCTTTTGAAATCCTCCGTAAGACCACTAACGGCAGTTGCCCGACAATTGTCAAGGTTCAGTTCGGTTACCTCAGATGGATCTCGGCCTCGTAATTCTAATTCTATACGCTTATCCATCTGGAAAATTTCCAATTATATATACATAACCTTTCTCACCAAGATCACAAAAACAAATTCATGAAAACACAAAAATATGTATAAACAATAAGATACAGATTATGGATTGAAAAGAATCGCAAAAAAAAAGCTCAAAATTTAAAAGAAATTAGTGAATAAAAGAAGGTCAAGAATGTTGTCCCTAAAGATTGAAACAATAGAAAACAAAACGGAAGAAGGAATGAATATTTCGATTATAAAAATTTCTACCCTCTTATTCATTTTTTAATGGAAGTCAGGAGGAAAAATTCCATAATAATAACACTATCAAATTGTTTCAATCAACCATCTACAAGATAGACTACGATTTGTTGATGTTTTCAATTAGTTACAGCTATCGATTTTGGCCAATTTTCTGAAGTGTTGGTTCAGAAGTATTCAAAATCGATCACATACTATCATTAATATCGTTATCACTACAAATCATATAAAGAGCAGATGGGATATGATGGAAAACAATAAATGAATGTTATTTAAAGATCGTCATAATAAAAAAATGCCCGTTTTCTCTTTCTTTCTACTTCTCAATCTTTCAAGTGAAAGAGAGTATGCTAACAAAGCATAGCGGAAATATTATTAATATCGCTCTTGTTGCAGTACATATTAATCAATCAGATATTCGTCATCTTTCTTTTCGTGAAAAAAGTATTTCTCCAGGATATTATAGGAATGCCAAAAAACACTTATAAAGAAAATTTAGTAGAAGAAAGAGGAGAGAGAGTAAATAGAAGTGATAGTTCTGAGAGGGTATGAGAAACTGCAAAGAATATGGAAGGGAATATCTGAAAGTGAAATCAAAATAAAATTATCCTAAACGTTTTAAAGAGAAGAAAAGTGAGAACATCGCGACACGTAAATTCTGAATCTGAGCACCACGGCTCACCCTACCACACCAACCACCACAGTGAAAATCAAATATCCCAATCGATGAGGAGGACATGTTTGGCCAAGTACCAATAAATTACTGTCCTTCTTCATGCTAAGACTCGTTGTCACAAGTTGCAGCACCTGCTGTTTTTCTGTTGCTTTTGTTGGTTTCTCGGCCATTAGCACCCCTCAAAATTTTTGAGCTCAACGTACATGCCGGATTGGACGCTGAACGTGAAAAGCGTGACAACGTGATTCAACTTCCGGTGTTCGGGTCCGTTTTTTCGTAGATCCTTCAGTTCACTGTCAAATATTTACGCTGATCGGTGAAATACCAATTTTTTGACAGCAATCATTTCAGCCGTCAACTCTTTGGGATTCTTAAAACTTCCAGGATATACATGTGCTAAAGACTACTACCACTTTACTGTTGCCCTGAAACTGTGTCCGCTTGGATTTACTTTCCTGTATTACAACTGAAATTTTAAAGCTAAATTGGGCATTAAAAGTAAGAGAAGCAATATATGTGAGGCGCAAAAATGAAGCTGGAAAGGTGAGATCTTGCACTGTGAAAACTTGTTTGTTATAGTAATCTATATTCAGTTAAGAATATAAATATCTATCAAATTACTTAAACTCAGATAACTTTTCTCTGGGTTTGAAATTTATTCAAATCTTACATCGTATGATATATATTGTCACTTTTCATTGATTCCTCTCATTTCAGATTTGCAGTTGTCTCGTAAAAAGGCGTGAATTGCAACTTGTGTGGGTAGCTGTTTCTTTCTCCATACGTGGATTTAATATTTCGTGGGAGGAAAGAGTGGTGTCACGTACGAAGTTTCTCCGTGTAAGTTTATGAAATTTATCAGTTTAAGAACCCATCTTCCAGTATGAAGTCAGCACATCTTTTATTACTTCATTATTTAACTGAAAGTGGATGAAGCATTTCTTTCCCTTTTCTCTGGTCTTTATTTCCGTTCATTTGAAAAGGAAATTAATAGTAAAATTTCAAATCTATTTAATATGCAGTTTGAATCTGAAGGAAGCGTATTTCTTATTCGAAATTATTCCCATAAAGAAAGAGAAAATGGTAAAAAATAAGTGATGAAAAATTTGTTAAGCAGGGATAAAGTTGGAATGGAAGTCCTGTTTCTCAAAATATCTACTTAAACTTATTGAATAATTTCCAAACATTGATGTATTTGTTGAGATGAGTCGATTGTAAGAGTTGTCCTTTCTTTGAAAGCTCAAAGTATGGAACATAATTATATTTTGAGTTAGGAAGGGTTTGGAAAAAATAGCTCATTGGGAAGATTTCAGCTAATAATTCTTATGAAACTCGAAATTTTTTTGAATAAATTCAAGTGTAGTATTTATGAAACTTTAGCTGGCAATGAAATACTGCACGTTTTTTCATTGAAGGTTAGGTTCATTGAACCTGTATGATCGATTATGTATGATCGCTTGGCGGTCGACTTCCCACTAATTCTTGAATGAACATCGTTCGGTATAGTTATATGTCATACCCATTTTTTCATAACGTAGTGTTTTTACAATTTTTGATTTAGAATTTGCATTTCAGATTTATTAATGCACTAAGGTATTTGAAATATTTGAAGAGCAATGATTCCGCAAAATTTGGAAGAAAATCTTCAATATCGTGAACTACATTTAAGACCTATGAATTTTCAAAGAAATATACTGGGTACACGGGATTTTTTGAATCGTCTCGGCCATAGTAAAACACTGAAAGTTAGTATTGGTTTTCATTTTTTTTCTTTTGTTAGTCTGTTTTTGTTTTTATTCATGAGGCAAGCTTCTTACATTATGTGGACTACTTTGTAAATAGCAACTGGGTCTTGCGTAACGTAGCCGAATAACTTTCGTTGATATGCTTTATAAAATAAAAGCAGAAGTACTTTGAATTGAATGTTATCCTTAGTTGTGGACAGTTCACTGATTCAAAATAGAATACTTGCAAACTGATGTTATTCACTATCGATGGATGTACGAATAACAAATAAGTATCCTTCGATCTGCGGCTCCTTTTGACAAGAGTTGATTGTCTTAATTAGAGATCTGAACATTAAACGAAGGTTATGGACAATGCCTTCAATATAACTATTTGCAATAAATTAGCCTTATGGTAGGCATAAAAAGCCTATTAAAGCGAGGCTAGTTCCAGAGGTAGTTCTTATGAAGATGATGAATATATAAAGAAATTAATACAGAAATTTAGAGTAACAAACCTTTTATGAGATGCATTAACAAATGATGCAAAAATATTTCATTCCATTTCTGAGGAAGTTTCATTGCTTATTTATTAATTGCAGGGTCATGAAGGATGTGTGAACTGCTTACAGTGGAATACTTCAGGAAGGTCAAATTTTAAATTTATTACTTCCAATATGTTCACTTTTAATAAACTTTGGGAAGTGAGAAGAAATTATGGTCATTATTACAGCCTGTTGGCAAGTGGTTCTGATGATATGCAGATTCGTTTGTGGAATGTGGAAGGTAAAGCTTTGCACTGTATCAAATCCGGCCATATGAATAATATATTTTCGGTACAGTTTTTACCCAGTGGAAGCGACGACTTACTTATAAGTGCTGCAGGTAGTTACTATTTAATAGCTGTTTATTTAAATTATCACCAGTGCTCCTAATTGATCAAACTTTCTTAAAAAAGTATTTATTGAGTTTTTCGAAATGTCACAGCGCTTTCTTCATTTTATTTCTCATATCTTATCCATGTTTATATATCTTCAAGATTCTAGACAGTTTAGGCTTCTTTTTTTCGAACTTTGTATTTTAACGTAGTTTCTGAAGTATCAATAGAACAAGTGCATGATAGCTGTGACACGAGAGACAAAAAAATTTTATAAGAATAGAAATTGAAATTTTAAGTGAAATCATAAAAATCCTGTTCAGAAATCATTGATGGTTATAGGTGATAGTAATGTTAGAATGCATTCGATTGCCCGCTCTGATGTGCCTTACGTGTGGTGGTCTGGTGGTCGCGTAAAACGTTTGGCTATAACACGCGCTGATCCATATCTATTTTGGTCTGCTGCGGAAGATGGTTACATCAAGTAAGTATTCAAATGTTTGCTTATGCTACTCTTAGGTTAGCAATTTCAAGAAGAGTACGGACCTTGAAGTTTCTGATGCGCTGAAATGAGCTTCTCTTAATCATCAAATTCACTCGCTGTCAGAATTAACTAGTTAATATAATTCAACTTCATTATTGAATTAAACGGATTAGTCTATGATATTATCAGTGCTACCATAAATATTGCGATGTCTTAGCATCCTAATGATGCTGTATTCGGATACCGCTATAAAAGAGTATTACAGCTTGTTTGGCTCTATTTCTTTTCAGTGTAAGAGAGTAATTAAAGTGAAAAACTTTTTTTCATAGGAGTGGTTTTTAAATCCAAAATTTTAATCGCAGCTCTTAATATGAAATTATACGGGACTAATGAAAAATTGGCTTATGGGAGTATATAAATTACAGGCAGTATGATGTTCGCACTGCTAAAGCTATAAGTTTAATTAAATTTGATCAGAAAGAATGTAAATCATTGGCAATAAATGAAAATCGTCCGGAAATGATTGCGGTTGCATTAAATGAAGCCCCTGTTCCCCTTTATGATCGACGGAATGTCTCGGAACCATTATTTACTGTTATTCCAGGTATTTGTCTCCTTTCATTGTTGATATACTTTCGATTTTTTAATGAATTTTTAGCCATTTTACACTGCTTGCTGTGCGAGCCGTAGCATATCAGTATGAATGCAATAATAAGAGTGTCGTGAATCATACAGAATAATTTTTAACTTTGTATAGTGAAGGAT